TCCACCCAATGTTTGTGAGTTTGCAACTAGATATGTTTTACATTTCATAATATTAATATAATTAGCACCACTTACTGTCGAATATAAAGTGCGCCATAAACTGTGAGAGAGGACAACAATGCCATAAATTACCTAAAAAGCTAGTCCAGTACCATAATAGTACATCAAGAAAAAGAAGAGTTATCTACCCCAAAATCCAGAAAATCCAATTTAGATTAAAAAATGTTTGGACTGAAGTCCTTTAACCAAAGTGTCCGATACGTCACTTCCGGTATCAGCGAGAACTGAAGTCCTATATAGGACTTTCAGATTACCTCACATCTGGTTTAATGGAGGATCTAGAAAAAAGGAAAACTGATTTATTCCTCTGACAGGACTTTGAATGTTAATAACATTGTCCTTATAAAGCATTTTTATTAAGAGCCTTTAAGAAGCATGCTTGATGGCACCTTCTCAAATGAAAGGTCACCCTGGAAGGGAAGGCTGCTCAGGTTATTTTTAGAGAATAGACCAGCACAGAACACAGGTCAATTAGGGGCTTATTAAACGTTTTCTCTACATTTAATCTCTGTGAATATAATAGGCACTTAAATAAATTAAGGAAAAGTGAATATTAAAGCAGCTACCACAATAGTGTGGAAATCTCTCCTATCAACCAGTTAGAACACAATTGTATAGGGAGGATAGGGGTGAAATCCACCACCAATCTCCTACGTGGAGTGTTGATTAAACACACTCACCCCTAATATTATGTATCCTCTCTCTTTGGGGCCTGTGAGGGAACCCCATAATTTAGGTTAGCTGCCTTTATTATACTACTTTCTGTTTGGCCATCTAGTGCTGATCCACATGTTTGTCTATTTTAAACTTACCCCTAATGTTTAACTGTCGTGAAAAGCCGTTCATGCACATAGGGGGGAAAAAATACAATAAAATCTAATGGTGTAGTATGTACAACAAATGTGCGTGGTAGAAAGTAAAAATAGACAAACTCACAACAATATGGCCAAATATGGGAATAGCACAGATCACAATCACTTTGGCTTATTACATCTTTTTAATTCTTCTTGTTGAGTTTAAGAGAACAATCCCTAGTGCAATATATACAGAACTCAATGATCTTATAAATAGGACGAATTTTGCTCACCTTAGAAAGAGAGAATGGGAAAACCTGGCTCTAGGTGTCAAAAGCTGTTAACCCTCTAAAGGGGGATAACCCTTCTCTATAGGAGGCAAATGGTAGTAAATAGCCAGCAGGGTTATAACATCATTGAATTCTGTATATATTCAGCTAGGGATTGTTCTCTTTGTGTTTTACTTTGAGCTCAACAAGAAGAATTAAGAAGAGGAACGGTGTCACCTTAATACACCAAAGTGATTGTGATCTGAGCCAGTTCCCTATTTGGCTCTATTTACATAGTGAAGTCAACGTTTAAGTTGTAAACAAACTTTTATCAGGACGTTTCAAATAAACTATCATACTACTGCTATATAAAGAAAATAAATAATTTACTCACCATCCACATGTGAACTTGTCAGCGTGTTCCAGCATCCAGGGTGCATGTGTACAAAGCAGAATGAACTTCTCAACTAATTCAGCTGTCCAGGATCTGATCTGATCCAATCAGCTGTGGGCTGGTGCCCCCCTCCAGTTGATATTGATAAATGAGCCCAGAGCACATGTGTCACTTGCACCAAGCTTTCATCCGTGCCAAGGGCGAATATGGCATTGCGCAGGACAGACAGGGAAGGAGTCTATGCATTCCAAGGTGGATGCACGCTGATATTGGAAGACATCTATTTTTCAATCAAATCAGCTATTTAAGGGAAACTTATTTCGGCCAATCAAAATTGTAAAGGGCTTATTTAAACACAATTTTACTTTTCCTCATTGTCCTGTCCTGGTTGTCCTTCGTGGTTGTCCGAGAGTGTGTTCCTGAACATTTATTTCTGGTATTTGACTTTGGCTTTGTTTGACTTCACTGTATTCTGGTATCCCTGACTTTTGGCTTTCCCTTATCGTTGCGTCCCATTCTGTATCCCTGACCTCGGCAAGTATACTGACTATTCTTTGGTACGTTAAGTCCAGCCATTCTAAGGCCCGGTAAGATGTTACCTTTTAGTCCTAGGTGTGATACAATTCTATGTGCTGGATCAATCAGTAATCCTGACAACAGCTAGATTTGTCATAGTTGCTCTGGATAAAAAGCCTTAACATCAAGCTATGATGACATTAGGAACAGACTCGTTCTTAGACATGATCAGAATGTTATTGTGGGAAATTCACATTATATAAAGATCTGATAACCAACATACAATTAACAGATATCCTGTGATCCCATGGAGTTAATCATGATGCATGTACTTACATGTACTACACACTAGCATTCCGTTAGAAAGATGTTAGACTAGTCACTGGAAAAGATGGGAAAAACAACAAACATTGATTCATTCTGTGTTCTGTGCAATGTGAATGGTTGTCAGTTTACTATATGAATAGGTTTGTTACAGCAGCTGAAATGAACACTCTGGGAAAGACACATTTTATGCATTGTATAGCTTTTGGACAATTATTTTAAACAATCTAACAGATAATAATAAATCAGCTTTTTTTTTGCATGCTCAGTTTTATACATTGTGTATGTTAAATCAACATCCCCTATTTTATCTCCTCCACCTGAAAAAGCTTCTTTCTGGCTGGTTTCTGTAGTAGCCTAGGTTATATCACACCACTTTTTCGCATCCCTCCTAACTTCCATTGTTTCTACAATACAACATTTTCATCAAGAAATACAACACAGGTTTATGAGGCTTAAGTCAGTTAGGAATATCATAAGTAGAAAGCTGACAACGGAACTATAAACCCCAAGATCCCATGCTCTGAATTGAATTGGAGCTGGGTACAGATAATTTTGAAAGGTTCTCTGTCAACTCCTCACCTCAGAAACACGCATTTTGGGATTCATGGGTGAGAACAAGTTTACTCTGTATGTAGGCTAGTGATTGTCACATCCAATTGTCACATCCAATTGTCACATCCAATTGTCATATCCAATTGTTCAGACTCTAGAGAATGAAAAGCTCCTGATTGGCCAAGTAGGTTCCTGGTGTGAACATAACTAAGTTGATGATGCAATGCCTATGGATTTGCACTCAAATCAGAAACTAAAAATGTAATTTTATTTGAAAACATTGTATCAATTCTTTAAAAAAAAATGATTATTATGTATTTTAATGAGTTTTCTATATCATGCATTCCATAGTATACACTTATAAACTTTACAGTGCAGTTTTCTGATAAGACTCTCAAGTACTCCAAGCTACCATGTCCAGTCATGTAACAATACACTTAGTATATAATAAGTAAATAATACTAATTGTTTCATGTAACAGTCTTTATTTTCATATTTTCAGATACATTATTTGTCTTTTTGTTCCTCTGCAAACAACACTCAATATGTCAGGAGGGCTATATTTTTGCTGGAACCCCAGCCCTTATTTATCTGCTACTGTTAGCTCCTTCCTTTTAAGTAGCTGCTGGATTCCTGCTAATAAGAAACGTTTGAACATTTTCCCATACCTGAAGCTTGGTCAGTTAGCATTATAATTGCATTGTCTGTATGATGAAAGTTAGCTATCTTGGGCTCACAGTGCAAACTAAGTGGCAATGAATCAAGGGAGATTGAAGTTAACCTTCACGGATCTTTGAAAAGCTTGGGTTTACATATATGAATCTGCTAATCTTTAAGAATTATAGCAGTTTTAGCAATTTAAGACAGGAGAAAGGCAGAAGTGTTGCCATTATTTAACACACTGAATATACGAAGTATAAAGCATCTGTTTATTAACATTGCAAAACAAAGAAAACTGGGGGATTGATCTATCTATCCTTCTATTCTATCTCAGTCTACTAGTTTTCTGTATTTCCATCCATCTGTCTTTCTATCTACACTATTAAAAATATAATCATTAAGCTGCATTATCACTTTCAAGCACTTCTTGAAAACACTCTCAAGTGTATGCATATCCATCCCTTAATAAATTTAGTTTAATCTGTGATTGCAGTCCTTTGGTTTTTTTTTAATATATAATTCATTAATGTTATGTTTACTTAAGTTTCCTGCACTTACAGCACTCCAGATGCTGCTCGTTTAATCAATGCCTTGTTTTATAATGGTGGTTCCTCACATTAGTTTACAAAAGCTGAAAGATAGTGGAACATGCATGCTTGTGGCTTTTGATACAGCTGAATTGAAACTATTTGCTGTCATTCATTTGGGTATTTAAATTCTGAGCTACTGAGGAATCACTTCCTTTTTGTGGTTCCTGTTGGTCCATGAGATCTTTCTTGGATTTCATGATTTTGAGTAGGCTTGAAGGCTTGAAATTGAGGAATAGTCTTGGAAAAGGTTGTATTCACCATCCACAATCAGCAGTAGTGCCTTCTGAGGGTCTAAAAATCTTTTTCTTAACCATGAGGACTGCTGAAAATTCCTCCCTGCAGTCTCCACCACCACCATTAGTAGTATATAGCCTCAGGACAGTGTGTTTAACAGCTTGTCTATTAAGTCTGATTCACGGCTCAGGAGGCAGTTTGATTCTTCTCAGTCTTTTTGTAGCAAGCGCTCCCATGTTACAAACTCCTGGAGGAGCATGAAGGCTAGCCTTCTGCCTAAGGACTATGGGACTCACCCAGAGGCCCTTTTCTATCCTGAAGTACACTGGTATCCTTGCATGCCCCTTTCTGACTCTACTGCAAACCCAGGTCTGCCTGTCCACAGCTTTGCACCCACAGCTGAATGGTCAAACAGAAAGAACAAACCAGACTCTAGAGCATTATATCAGATGTTATACCACTCACCTTCAAAATGACTGGTATGACTTACTACTCGAATTTACATAGTTCTCATTGTATGTCTCCTTTTTATGGCTTTGATCCAGCAATGCTCCCTAACCAACTCATCACGTGTTGTTTGCCTGTTGCATGTTGAGCAACATACCTGTGACCTCCAGATAGGGTTCCAACATGCCCTAACTATCCTGCAAGAAACCCAACAGAAATACAAAGCCCTATGCTGACAAGAAGCACAGACCTGCTGCTGCTTACCAAGTAGGACAGAAAGTGTGGTTGTCAACAAAGCACCTAAAATTGTCTTGTCATATTAAGAAACTAGTTCCAAAATACCTAGATCCTTATCGTAAAGAAACTGTCCTCTCTCCTGTAACTGTATGGCTGCTGTTTCCTTCTTCTCTATGTAGAAAGGTCTTCGGAGCCATTCACCCATGTCTATGCACCTCGCCTTGTTTAATCCTTTCAATGCAGGGATCCTGGGCATTCTTTTATGCTACACCTCTGGAGGATTTGTATTAGGAATGGTATTTTCAGGATTTACCTCCACTCTATCGTTGCTCCAGCAGCACTCCTGAGTTGCTGCCACCGGAACGAGCGTATGCGTGAACACCAGGGGCCGGCCACCACCTCTGACCTCCAGTTGCGTTACATCTCCCAGGCAACGACAGACACCTGGAAGACATGCCCAATTGTTTCCATGTAGCAAGGGTAGCACTAGGAGGCATGGCTGGAATGAATCAGGATGGATAATCTCCAATGGCAACCCTGACTGACAGACAGCCCCATACACCAATAGGGTGCTATTGGAGCAGGTCTGAGTAGGTGTGTGTTATACTTAGCACCCTATTTAAACTTTGAACAGCTAAGCTGTCATTGCTCAGTGGTCCTGTGCTCCATCCCTTCTATACCTGTGATTCTTCATTTCCTGAAGTTTATCAAGCCTCTGGCCTGACTTACCGTTGCTGAACCTTTGTTGCCTGGATATTGACTACTGGACTACCTGATCTCGCTCTAGCCTTGCCCTTGCCCTTGCTGATTCACCTGTTGTCCTTACTTGCACCACCTTTGGTAGGTACTAACCACTGCATACCAGGAACACCCCATAAGTCTTGACATTTTGGAGATGATGTGACCTATTCGCCTAGCCATCACTAATTGGCCTTTGTCAAAGTCATTCTATTCGCTTGCCCTTTTACCTGTTTCCAGCACATGAAATTCCAGAACTGACTCTTCACATGCTGCCTAATATATTCCACCCTTTGTAATGATATAGTCATTTGCCATTGTAATGATATAGTCAATGTTATTCACTTCCCCTGTCAGTGATTTTAATGTTGTGGCTGATCAGTGTATGTGTATATATATATATATATATATATATATATATCTTCTTTCTCTAGTTCTGAAGCAACTGATGTTCACTGCAAGCTGCGCAAAGCAATAATTTGTACTTATCTTTTGAGCACTCCTCCTGAGGGTTTTTTGAATTTGGCATCTGTTTTAATACACTGGCGTTAAATTTGGAGTGAACAGGAGCTTATCTTGCATGAGAAGATGAGCTGTTTACATTATGGAACACATTTTCACATGATTAATTCCCAGTGGTGCTTATAAATATGTATAACAGCAGGTAATTTAAAGCACAGCTCGGAAAGTATGAGAGTAAAGTCATGCTGTATCCATAGGTGCTGATCAGTCTATTAAAGTATTACATGTGCATGTCACAGAAAAGAACATAAAATGAATGTCATAAAGTACTTTTAAAACAAAGACTCATCTTCAACACAGCTGGTTACATAAGAGATTTGTGTGATGGCCTAGATGTGTTACCTGAGGGCGGCAGGCATTATCACTACCTGTGAGGTGTCAGAGTAAAACCCACAGTGACTATATAGGCTTCCTTTGTATTATGTAGTAAATATGTCTCCAATACGTTTTGTAGATATGTATTTTTTTCATAGACAGTCAACTCACTAGCAGAGAAGCACTGCTCAGTGCTTAATACATCAATAAAGAGCAATCTAAGGGGAATTTGTTCACCATTTAGTGCCTGTAGTGTTTTTGTACATTTCCTCTTCTTTATTTGGTGATAATTTAAAGAATTGGAAAACAGGTAGTGAACTGAAGGTAAATTTGTTTTTGTTTTTTTACTCTTCTTTGTTTCAAGCTATGTATATCTCATTAAATGAAGGTAAGATTGTCAGGGCGCTAGTCAGTGCTTTTTTATCCCCCACGGCTTTTTTTATCACAAAGACAAGCAGACGTTGATAGACGATAGGTCATTCTGGCGTTCTAAATCCAATACAAAGTCTGCCTTAGGTGAAATGCAAAATACATTATGACTGAACAGAGAGACAGCTCATTGAAATGGACTGTGAATCAAATCATAAGCATTTTACTGTCTCCATCAACAAAAAAAGACACGGAAATGTCTGGATTAAAAGTGTGTAAATTAGGAAGTGAATGTATGGACATCAAAAGTTGACAGGATGTGTGACGGTTGAATACTTGACTTTAAAATATCCTGACAACTTAAGGGAATGGTAACAAGTAAGCAAGAGAATTAGAGAACAGATAAATTGTCATAACAGACAATTTGCACATCTGATTTCACCACTAACCAATGGAAAACAAGAGCAAATGCACATCAGAATAGGGGCAAAGTAGGCAGCTGTTCCTCATAGAGCAGTGGCACTAAACTGGAGATGTTCCATCTTTATTGTTTTAAATTTACTCTGCAATAAATTAATGTCCCTCAGTGTGTTCCAGAAAATTCCACATGGTTTAAATTAACCATATTTCTTTTGCATAAGTGACACATGTAAGCAGCTGTATAAGAAGAATAGAACATGTAATAATATATCTATTTCTTAATTTCTTGATTTTTAGGCTTTACAGAACATTCCAGTTGGAGTAGAATTATATGTTGGCATCCTCCAACCCACAGCAATAAAATGAAAGGCAGTTCATCAACCCTTGTTTGTCTTTGCTGTCTCCTTACCTCATTTTGTGTCTCTTCTTACCCGCTAGTTCCTTTTTGTGTCTCTAGTTACCCACTTACCCTCTTGTGTGCCTTAAGTTATAATCTCACCCACTTTTGTGTATTTTCTTCCACCAGTTACAGTCTTGTAGGTCTTGTGTGTCTCTCTTTCAAATTTTTATTATTAAAGTAATAATAATAAAAATTATACATTTTTTGTCAACGTTTCATCAATTATTAATGTATAGACAGCATGATATATGGAAATTGATATTATAAAAAAGATATTTGCTATAGATACATAATCAATAGTATAGGTAACACTATTAAGATCATAACGGAAAAAGTGGAAAACCTGGGAAAAATTAATAAATTTCACATCCATAGTACGATATGAAATAATTAAATTTGAAAAATGTGCATGAAGAAATAACAGTTTTATGTGATATATTTGCATAAGTGTCATATATTAAGTGGAAGCATGGTAAATAATGAGTCAAACATAAGTGGTAAAATTATTTTCGGTCAGGTGTAAACAGTACTAATCTTGTATTTACTCCTCATAGCTTTCTCCCATTCATATGCTATATCTGAGAAGTACATCAGTGGCAGAAGGTACACAAAGAGTAAGTTCACATTGCTTATTTTCAAATAAGAATATAACATTTTTGACAGAAGGAATGGTAGCAGATTTCCAATATCTTGGAATGACTGATGTAGCCTAGATAAGGAGGTGGCCTAACATTACTCTTATGTGCTGTTAAATCATCTAGGAAATGATTAAGTAGGCACAAGTTACAGGAAATTCAGTAATAGATAGGATCAATCCAAAGATTTTTTGTCAATAGTTGGATAATTTTGGGCATGACCAGAAAATGTGATAGAGCGTACCTGTTTGTCCACAGCCTTCCAAACATAAATTCGAAACATTTCGAATGAATGAAGAAAAGTACCATTGGTAAATTAATTTTATATGGGTTTCTAAATGATTTATACAATGCATAATACCTTTCAGTATGAGTAATGAAGTGTGCCATTCTTCCACTGTGAATACCTCACCCAGATCACTCTCCCACTTTGTCATACATGGCAATTTCTAGCATACTTCACCTGCAAAAAAAAAGACATAACACATGGAAATGGTTAGATTTTATGGCCAGGATCTGAGATGTAAACGTTTTCTAAGTTTGACAATTCCAATTTTCTAGAACTCCCAAAATGTTCACTAATTTTTCGATCCAAACTCCCATGTGTGGGGGTGTCAAAAATACTCCGCTGAAATTTCCTTTTGATTTGTTCAAATGTTAAAAAAGTAGAGGATAAAAATAAATCATTAATGCAATGAATAGAATGAGAAAACCAATATTCTACATCTAATTTGGGTATAACTAGTTTTAATACAGATAGACGAGTGGCTTTAGACCACATAGTAGAAGAACAGATTTTTTCAAAACAGTATATTCCAGGCTTTAATAGTAGTTTTAGTCATAAGAAACATGTCCGCCAACCTTGTGCGCTGAGATGGAAGTAACCATAAAATATATTTAATTAAATGTGGTGAAAGTTTACTAGCCCTCATTTGAAGCCAAACAGGACAGTCATGGTCTAGTTTAATTTTATTGCCATCACTGCATTGGTTGCATAATAATAATTAATAATGTCCGGCAAGCCTAAACCCCCAGAGTTTTTGGAGTATGGATAATTTAATCCCAGTTGGTTTTATTTTCCAGATAAGAGAGCAGAATGTATCTTTTGAAAAAAAAGCTAAAGGAATCGAAAGGGGGATGGCTGTAACAAAATATAACATTTTGGGAAGGATAGTCATTTTCATCAAATTAACCATACCTAACTCTACATAACCATATCAACCACCTTTCAAGATTATTCCTAAAATTGGACCAGACCCTACCCAGGTTTTAAGAATGCATCTTGGACAGGTTCTTGCATAGGTTAATGCCCAGATAAGAGATATAAGAGCTCTCTCCAATCAAAGTCAAACAGACCTTTCAAAGTATCTAAATCATACCAGGGTATGAAAAAAGAGAAAGCTGGAGTTTTGGTAGTGTATAGATTATAAAATGAAATTTGCCAAATTCCTGCAGAATCGACATCAATGGAGTAAGTGATTTAATGGGATGATTAGTGATAACATGATGTTGTCTGCAAAAAGGCCTATTTTATGTTCCTTTCCCCCTACTACAATACCTTCGATATCTGCGCTGCAATGTATCATCACCAGCCAGGGGTTCCATTGCCAGCACAAACAGGAGTGGAGACAATGGGCACCCATGTCTGGTCCCATTAGATAATAAAAAGTTTTCAGAAGCAAAACCAGCTGCTGATACTCTAGCAGTTGGTTGACAGTATAGTGAAAACACAGCCCTGATTAAGGGGTCTGGGATGTTAAAGCG